GCTCCTGCCTGGGCAGGAGCCACGAGCGGGCGGGGGAGCTGGCCCGGGGACCTGCGTGGCCCCTTTGCGGCCTTTCGGGACGTCCCTTGCTGACGGCGCCGGTAAAAGTTCCTTCAGGTCGTTCCCTGCGAAGGCCTGGGAGAGCTTTTTGCGTCTTCGCAGCCAGATCTTGCCTCTAGTGTCTTGTTTGTCTCCACTGCCCTATGGAGCAATTTCCACACATGGGGGGTGCTGGTAGAAGATGGAGTGGATGGTGATGAACTTTCTCGTTGCTTAAATGTGCCGAGCGAACGTATTGAAAAGGCTGAGCAGGATGATTCTTTTAAGTAAAACTGGAAATAGTCTAACAAGCTTGGAGAGTAATATGTTTTAGGGGCCCATGGTCACTAAAAAGCTAAGGCTCTGGTATGATGACTGTCCTTGATTTGGTGTTATTTTGCTTCTTTCACACAGTACTGTGGTAACTCAAGGCGTGCTCGTAAGGTTCATTAAGACTTGTCAGCTGGGAGGGGAAGTACAGTAGCAGTGAAGGGAAAAACACTTTCAGTTATGAATAGGTACCACTTAATGCAGAGCTGTGGAAGTTTGATGTTCCAAATAAGTAGGACATGAGGCTCACTGATTTTTGAAAGCCAGACCCCTTAAGCGTCTGACACGTAATTGTTCTTGCTCTGCTTTTCCCTTGGTTAGGAGTGGCTACTCTGCTGTTTTAAATACTTATTCTTAATGTGAGTTTCTAAGAGTTTAGTACTAAGAAAGTATATTTTTTTTCTGTCCTTACTAAACTTGTAGGTTTTTTAACAGATTAGTTCCCTGTCTGAAACTAACTGTTTTACAGTTAGTAACTTAATCTTTCTGTTTACAGAAGGCTTCTGAAAGAGTAAATGTGAAGCTTGTATAAATCTTTTTTGTGTCTGGAGGAGGTGGAGTGTAGAGTAAGGAAGTATAGTAGAAAGAAACAGGTATCTTCAGATATATCTGTGTTATTATGAAATACCTGATTTTGTTTGTTCATTGTGAAACCATGAAATCTGTGGGATTGCAGTGAGTGTTAAAACTAACTTTTTTTTTAAAGGTCTTTAGTGAGAAAGCAGCTGTTAAACGCTTGCATGCTCTCCTTAGTACTAACTTTAAGATTGCCCATACAGAAAACATTAGTTTTAAAGAGACAGTATAAATTTATCAGGCCTTTCTGTTACACCATATGTGTGTTTCGTACTGCGTGTTTTATGTATAGTCCAGGATACTTCTACATGATCCTTGAACTTCACTATAAGATGTTGTTGTTAATGTTAATCAGATCTTTAGAACAAGAACTGAGCTTGATAGGGAGGAGCGTGAACATGATATGCATGCTTTCATTAGTAAAGTAGATGTAATTTCAAGGGGTATTAGCTTCTTAATTAACTTCTTAATTTTCTTTCAAGTAACTGAAGTCAAGCAGTAATTATGTGTGTAATTCAAAAGCAATTTTACTCAAAGCTCATAAATGGAATTGTCTTTCAGGCAGAGATGAAGCCTGGGAAATCATCACATCCAAAGGTAAATGTTTTATAATGTGATTAGTGTATGAAAATAGCACTTTTTAATGTGAAATATCTGGACAAATGCAAAAAAAATAAAACAGAATTTGTGGCAAATACAAGAGTAGTTTCAACTGCTGTTCAAAATGAACGAAAATTTGTTCCCAAGTACTTGAAGTACGCACTTGGGTTTCTGTAATCTTCAGTTCATAATGACATTAACCATTTAAGAGTAACAGTAGGGCACAGCAGGATATTATTAAAATGTGTTGATCATAAAGATTTTAGTTTTGTCTTCAGAATTTTTCTTGTTATGAGTGATTTATATTTTCAGTAGTTACTGAATTATAGGACTTGTAGCTCATCTGATAGGACATGGAGATCTGCAATAATTCATGGACTGTGGATTCAGCAGTGGAGATGTACAGATACAGGTGTCTGTGCATGTATCTACATATGTGTATATTCCTGTAATATAAAACTGGAACTCATCACTTCCAAGTTTGCTTTTGGTTTTGAGAGGCAATAGAGGTCTGTGGCTGTGTAAACTGAACTGGTCTTTAATGGCCTTTAAGCCAAAAGCACAGCACAAGTCTGGCCAGCTCTTTACTTCCATTAGGTTTTAACATGGAATTTACTGCACTGCTGGTCACAGTAGAACTTTGAATTTAAATATTGTCTTCTACTTTTCTCTTAAGTTTACAAGCATCGTTAAAAAAAACACCTGTAGGAAGGACCAACGTTCACAAAGGCTAGCCTTTCTAATGCAGCATTATCATAGGGACAGGAGGAACTGTGAAGCAGATGGATGTTAGAGGAAAGACCTCTGATTGTGACTAAGAAAACGTCATCTGTCAGTAGAATGCAAAGGAACTGTGTTCATATAGTCTGGAGAAATTGAAGATAAGTTACATACTTGGAGGTTAATAAACATTGAACTACAAGTAGAGAATTTAAATTACTAAGTCTCCAAAGAGCTGGGTGAAAGGGAACCTCGTGAATTTCAATAAGGACAAGCGTAGAGTCCTGCATCTGGGGAGGAATAACACCAGACACCAGTACAGTTTAGAGGACGTCCTGCTGGAAAGCAGCCCTGTGGAGAAGGACCTTGGAGTCTAGTGGACAGTAAGTTGTCCATGGGACAGCAATGTGTGCTTGCAGCCAAGAGGGCCACTAGGGAAGTTCTTTTCCCCTTCAACTCTGCCCTGGTGAGACCACACCTGGAATACTGTGTCCAGTTTTGGGCTCCCCAGTTCAAGAGAGACAGGGACCTACTGGAGAGAGTCCAGTGGAGAGCTACGAGGATGATTAAGGTGCTTGATCATGTCTCCTATGAAGAGAGACTGAGAGAACTGAGGCTGTTTAGCCTTGAAAGGAGATGGCTGAGGGGACCTTATTAACTTCCTTATTAAAAGAGGGGACCTTATTAACTTCCCCTGCCAGGGGAAGTTTAGATTGGATATTAGGAAAAACTTCTTCACCGAAAGGGTGCTGAAGCATTGGAACGGGTTGCCGAGGGGAAGTAGTGCCATCACCATCCCTGGACGTGTTTAAAAAATGGCTGGATGTGGCACTTCAGGAAATAGTTTAGTGTTAGGGTGGTGTAGGGCTGTAAATTGGACTTTTGATGATCTTAAGGTCCTTTCCAACCTTGATGTTTCTATGATTCTGTATCTGAGAGGTGGGTGTCAAGAGGAAGGGGCCAGTCTTTTTTCAGTAGTGCCCGGTAATAGGACAAGGAATAATGGGTATAAGCTAGAGTATAGGAAGTTCCACCTGAACATGAGCAGAAACTTCTTCACTATGAGGGTGACAGAGCACTGGCACAGGCTGCCCGGAGAGGTTGTGGAGTCTCCTTCTCTGGAGACTTTCAAAACCCGCCTGGACGCGTTCCTGTGTGACCTGCCCTAGGGAATCCTGCTCTGAGGGCGTGGTTGGACTAGATGATCTTCCGAGGTCGCTTCCAACCCCTGACATTCTGTGATTAGGAAGTATTTGCTAGTAGTCAAAGTAGCAGAGAACAAGAACAGCTTATGTATTAATGTAAGTGTTGCCTAGGAAAATATTTAGCCAGATAAAACTATATGGTTCTGCTCTTGGTGACTGTATATTTGTCACAGACATCAACTTTCATGACAAATTTAAAAAAAAAGTCTACATTGTATTTGTTTTCATAGCCTCTTAGTTAAATAATCAGTGGTTATAAAATACTGTTAGTGTGTATGCTGTAAATGGGACGTGACTTCTTATTATAGAAAAGCCTTGTCATTGATGAAGCTATAATTACTTGAAATATAATGCTACAGTATAATGTGCCTTAAAAAACGCAAATTTTGTTGTTTTGTTTGGGGGGTTTTTTAGTGTAACAAGAACAATTTCCAAAGGGATTAATGTTTTATCTAGGAAATTTGAAAAAAAAAAAAAAAATGTAGAGAAACCTTCTTTCCCTGGCTGAAACAGAACCTCCACTAGCCTGCCCCTGATCAGCTTGCTGACTTCCCTTGGTTCCAGTGTCTCCATCTGTAATATGTGGGTGATGCTTCAGGCCATCTCTCTGTAGAGCTGTGATACTTCTAACAGTAGAAGGCAATGTAACTGAGATAGTACAGCTAGCCATTGGAAAGAAATTAGCTAGTCGTGTTTCCTGATGGCAGGAATTGATTAAAAAGTTCTCTTGTAGAAGATATGAAAAGGTGCATGCTTCTTGCCTTAATTGTGACATCAGGGAGTTATGAAGTAAGTCTGTGATTCTCATAGTCTAGTCTAAACTAGTAGTAGTATTGTCTAGACAGAGAAACAGGCTTGTGCAGATGGTGGATCTGCTCTGTTTCTCAGATCGACCAGCTCAGACATCAAAGTCTAAATAATTGCTCTCCGTTTTCTTCCCTATCCCACCCCCTGCCTTTCTGTGATTATTCTGGCATTGTACTAGTCAAAAAAATTAAGATACAGGAGAATCGCAAAATCTGCACTTTGTAATTCAACATAGAGTTTTTGCATGGTGAGATGTATTGCAAAGTGTCTGAAAGTTTTATAACTTCCTGTCCAGTGCAACAGTAACAGAAGGGGAACGCCAAGAAGAGGCTTGTGTGTGTATGTGTGCAATCTTGCAGTATGTTGAGCAGTCAGACATCTCATACATTTCAAAAAGTGGTGAGGAATGCCTTATCACTTACTGAAATTACTATATTAGCTTACCCTTTGTATTTATGTCCTCTAAGTGGAAATTTGATTCTTGTATCATATTCTGTTATTCGGATCAAACAAGATAATGCTTGGAAGGCCTGCTACCTTGAGCTCCATAGGAAACATGGTTTGTGGCTTTATTGAGAATGAACTTGTATTGGCTTGGTTTAGAGTCTCTTCTGGCATTTGTGCTTGTTTGAGACGCTGTAATTTTCCTTTCTAGTAATCTTTCAGTTGATATTGGAAGGAGGCAGGGAAGAACCTATGAGAAACTCATGTCTTAATTCTCTAACAAATCTTGGATATGAAGTAAGAGACATGGTCTGATTCAAGCCTGGAAATTTACGGAACTAGCACAGTTCCACAGAGTTGAGAAGGAAATAATTAGTCATGTAGTTACTCATTAGTACAGCATAGTCAGCTTTACTTAAGTAGGTAGCTGTCTATGTGACATTTGTGGCCCTGTAGTTCACACTTCCTGCAAACTGCTGTATGTTGACTTCGAGTTCTAGGGTGCATTGGTTTTGCAACTCCAGTAGCAAAGGTTTTATATATACACCTTATATATAAGAAGTAATCCTACAGCAGCATCTCAGTAGTATCATATTTTGATAGTGTCATCCTCCTGAAATGAAAATAGATGTGCACAAAGGAAACTAACATGGTTTATAAAATCAGCTGTATCAGTCTTCAGGTAGCAATCCTAAGTGTATATGGGATAGACGTCTGCAAAACTTAACCACATTAAGTAAGATTTTTTTGTATATTACTTTGGGTTTTATTAGTTGTTTTTAATGTTAAGTCTCTTCATCTTGTGGATGTCTTATTGAGAGAACATTTTTGGAGTCTCATTTTGTAAGAGAGCAAAATTTTGAATAGCATAGATATGGAGAGTGTTTTTACTGTGTTGTTATCAGTGTTATAGTCTTGAAATGTAATGCAGAAAATGTTTGTCAGCTTCACTAGGAAGTTCTTTTACAAATTTAAGTGTCTATGTGTCTCCTAATTACTGTGACTTCTTTACTAGAGAAATGGATCACAGGAATTAAATTTTTATGTAGACAATATTTATGCATACTTGGATATGGATATTGAGCATGAGCTCATAAATAATATAAGAGAACAAAGCTGGGATAATTGCTCTCTAGACTATATTTCACTACTTTTACATATTTGGAGTAAATATGCTATTTAAAAGCTTAATTTCACATTGCCTTTGGTAAATATGTGAATCTTAAGATCTAGCATTTATTTGTCTCTAATTTATATCTAATTGCCACATAAAAAATTAGAGAGGACAGCATTCCCTGGTCATGTCGGATGCTTATTGTGTTTGTGGAGGCCAAAGGCTGTGACTGCAAAGGTCACCTTTTATTATTTGATCCTACCAAAGTGGCTGGTGCAGTTGCAGCCCTCTCCAGTAGTATTAGGGCTCTACAGTCTATTTTGGTGTGGATCCTGTGTCTTAATTGAACGCTTGGATGCATCTCTGCGTGTCAGACTCCTTTGGAGGTAATTCAGATTATGAATGCACAGTATCATTTTAGGAGGCTGTAACTTTGAGTCTATTTAAACTAATTGCTATCTACTATGTAACTTGAGAGCGTTCTTAAATAAGTGAGCTTGTGGTGTCGTTTCCAGGCAGTATGGTTATTGAACTCAGTTATAACTGAATGGTTATTTTAGTTTTCGTTTAGATTTTGTAGTTTTTGCCTATTTCCATAGGACATTTGAACGAAGTAGCAAGTAATATGAGAGAGTCCTGTGTCCAAAGAAGGGCAGCAAAACTGGTGAAAGCGCGGAACAAGCCTTATGAGGAGCAGATGAGGGAACTGGGGTTGTTTAGTCTGAAAAAAAAGGAAGCTCAGGGGAGTCATCTCTTTCCACAACTACCTGAAAGGAGGTTTTAGCGAGGTGGGGGTAGGTCTCTTCTCCCAAGTAACAAGTGATAAGCTGAGGGGAAATGGCCTGAAGTTGTGCCAGGAGAGGTTTTGATTGGACATTAGGAAAAATTTGCTGACGAAAAGGGTTCTCAGGCAGTGGAATGGGCTGCCCAGGGAGGTAGTGGAGTCACCATCCCTAGAGATATTTGAAAGATATATAGATGTGGTACTCAGGAACATGGTTTAATGGTGGACTTGGCAATGTTAGGTTAATGATTAGACTGGATGATCCTAAAGGTATTTTTCAGCTGAAACAATTCTGTAGTGATCAGGCTTGCAAAAGGACTTCTCCTGACCAATTCTGTGTGTGCTGTGAGACATAACTATTTCTTAGGGTTGAAGAGTATATTTAATCCATTGTCATTAATATCACTCTCCTCATTTTATGCTGTTTGTGTTTTTGTAATGAGTCCATGTTCACGTTCAGACTTCTCATCAGCTTTTTATTGATCAGAGAATAATGTAGTTATTTGATTGGTTTCAGTGATCTTATATAATGATACCCTCTTTCATTCAGCTAAAGATTTAATATGGGTTACTATCAGGTGGCAGAAACCTATCACTATAAATCAGAACCAATCCAAATATAGCGAAGCAGCTGTCATTAATGTAACTAGAGCGTGGTATCTTACTCCAGATGAGTCTCTTCTGGCTAGTTTACATGTTGCTCTGTAAATGCAGTTGGTCAAAGTTCTGAAAAACAGCCTCCAAACCCCAGCAGATCTGGTATGCTTTGGAAGCTTCTGCTGGTTGCAAAGTGGATTGCATACACTGACTGAATGCTCCTCTTGGCCTTAATCAGTATTAACTTAGAAATAAAGGCTGGTTTTGTTTGTGTTCTCTGGGTTCTAGAATAACTTCCATGAGAAGCTCTGACAAACTGGTGATACAGTCTGTGCGGTTGTTCGGTTGTTCGGTAGGGAAGACTGAGGGAAAGTGTAAGTCATGGTCGTAGTCAGCTGGTTTTCTAGCACTACTGATGGACCTTGCCTGCTGAAAAAACGTGAATGGGATTCTGAGGATTTCAGAAGCATTTCGCTTATTACTGCTTTTCTGCTTGTTTTACCGAGTTGAATGATTGCAACTCAAAAAAATAAAAGGGAGTTTGCCACCAAGTTTGGTTTTGCTTTGATGTATTGGCTTGCCATTAATCTTCTGCAGGTATGAATGCTTAAATCACTTCCATATTCTTTCCCCTATATTTATACATATACGTTTGGGTTTCTTTTACAGAATTTACTTGGAGTAAAAGATCACTGACTTCTACAATGGAAAAGTCATGGATGCTTTGGACCTTTGTTAAAAGATGGCTGCTTGCTTTGGCTTCCTGGTCTTGGAGTCTCTGCCGCATTTGTCTTCTACCCTTGATAGTAACTTTTCACTTGTACGGAGGCATTATACTACTTATATTAATATTTGTATCGATAGCGGGTATATTATACAAATTCCAGGATGTGCTGCTTTACTTTCCTGAACAGCCCTCCTCATCACGCCTTTATGTTCCTATGCCTACTGGTATACCACATGAAAATATCTTCATCAAAACCAAAGATGGAGTTCTTCTCAATCTTATCCTGCTGAGATACACGGGGGACAATGCAGCGTATTCTCCGACCATCATTTACTTTCATGGGAACGCAGGAAACATTGGCCACAGGTTGCCAAATGCTTTGTTAATGCTCGTAAACCTGAAAGTGAACTTAATTCTTGTCGATTATAGAGGGTATGGAAAAAGTGAAGGAGAAGCAAGCGAAGAAGGTTTGTACTTAGATTCTGAGGCTGTATTAGACTATGTGATGACTCGATCCGATCTTGATAAAACGAAAATTTTTCTTTTTGGCCGTTCCTTGGGGGGAGCAGTAGCTATTCACTTAGCTTCTGAAAATTCCCATAGGATTTCTGCCATTGTGGTGGAGAACACCTTTCTTAGCATCCCATACATGGCCAGCACTTTGTTTTCTTTCTTTCCAATGAGATATCTTCCTTTATGGTGCTACAAAAACAAATTTCTGTCCTACAGAAAAATCTCTCAGTGCAGAATGCCTTCTCTCTTCATCTCTGGGTTGTCTGACCAGTTAATTCCACCAGTTATGATGAAGCAACTTTATGAATTATCCCCAGCTCGGACTAAGAGATTGGCGATATTTCCCGATGGAACTCATAATGACACTTGGCAGTGCCAGGGTTATTTCACTGCACTTGAACAGTTCATCAAAGAAGTAATAAAGAGTCACTCCCCTGAAGAAATGGCGAAAACATCATCTAACGTAACAATAATATAATTGATATTCTTTTTCGGGGTGGGAGTTCTGCACTGTACCTTGATTTGTGAAAAGTGGTAAAAGAATGTCCATTTTTTAAATGTACGTCGTGTCTGTACTTGCCTAAAGACTGAAATTAAACTTGGAAAGGTCTGATGCTTTATTAAGATGTTCCAGATCACTTTTACATTTGCAGCATTGTAAATGAACCATTTTATGTCTTTCTCATACTTTTTTGGTATCTCTGTCCATATATTCCATTTGTTTGATATGTATAACGGATGCTATTAAAGGAACTTGATACAAAAGTAGTACAGAATGTATTAGTTTAGAACAATGGGAAGCTCTTCAGTATTCACAGCTGTATGTGTGAGCTTTTTGGACAGTCATGGTTAGCACAATGATTTGTTACTTCTCTTAGAGTTTATTTAAAGTGTGCCATGCATGAGATTAGTGTTTTATTCCTTGAGATTTTATATTATGCAAGGGGGGAAGTCTTTAATGTGCTAAATAACATATTGTTAATGGTAGGGTATACTTGCAGGTATACTGTCCTGGGTTATTACTGTTTTTTATGGTTATGCATACATAGGTATTTCAAACTGCAACCGAAGAGGAAAAGACCATTTCCCTGCTTTCATTTTACTATTTGTATTATAACAGTGCCCAGAAAGTTGTATCTGCCTAAACATCATGGCTTCAGGATTTTGCCCAGGCAGCTGCTTCATAGACAAAAGAAGTAAGTAACCTTCAAAAAAAAGAGCAGTGTGATCTCAGCTCCTTTCTGCCCCAAGCTCTCGTCGCTAACATACAGGCAAACTGTTCCTTGGTATTATTCTGGTTATGCATTTGAGGTGGGATTTCCCAAGGCAGAATAGATGGTGTGATAGAAGGGAGTGTCACACAAGGTAAAAGTATGTATTAGTTTGATTTTGATTTTTTTTTTTAATGGCTTCTATAATTAAATGTCTTTGCCCTTTATTTACACCTACAAAAGAAATCCAAATAATTACTGGTGATTGCACGATTAGGGTTAGATACTTACAGTAAGATTGATAGAAATAAAAATGAGGAGTGCATTGAAGTTAGTAGACCTAAGCTTGGTTAGTCTGAAAGAGATGACATTTAGTTATAACACTTTTATGTATTTCCTTGCAAGAAGTCTTTTTTACAGTTCTGTTGCACCATGTGAAAGTAGCCTAAGCATCAGCAGAAGCGAGTTTCCTTTAGCTCTGCCGGGAGTGTTGAAGCCAGCAGTAGTTACACTGAGAGAGTTTGATTTGGACTGAGTGTTGGGGTTATTTAATTTATTTGTTTTTTTTAGGAGTCCTTACCCTAGGTAATCATCTCGAAGTTGTATGCTGTTAGCTGAGTCATATTGGAATGTGAGGCTGTTCAAATCCTTTCTGCAGCTTTAATTTCTCATTTGCTGAAGCTGATAATTTGCCTCTTCAGAGTCTTTTTTTAACGGGAAGAACAAACTGGAAAATCTTCCACGCAATCTGTACAACTGCCCTTCGGATTGGAATTTTTAAACATTTTTCTGCCATGGTGTGCTGAGTCAGAAAAACATCTCAGCACATGCTTTAAAATTTTCTCCTGATGGACAGTGATATTTTAAGCTTGTGCTTAAGCTCTCTGGTTGAATAAAACGGCTTTCCTGAACTGGTGCCTTAATGGTTATGCCTCCTAAAATTTATTACATGAAATTATGGATCTTATGTACACATGCAAAATTGTTGTCAGCAGTTTTTAGGTAGGGTGATACATCTTTAAGTAAATGTGATTTATTTATTTATTTATTTTTAAAAAATAAACACGTAGTTACCAGAAGGTGCTGCTTTCTCTGGTAAGTATCTTTTGTCATCCTGTTATTACTGTTTTCCTAGAGTTGTTTGAAAAAGTTATAGACCTTTTAGAATCTGTAGACCTAAAACCATTATAGACAGAGCATAGTTTTAAATTTTGGTGAAACCAAAACTGTCCCCTCATCCTTCCAGAAGTAGGGTTTTTTGGGTGGGGGGGAGACGGGCTGAAGTTTGACTGGATGTGTGCATGTGTTTATATAGCAGAGAGAGCTAATAGACACAGCATTCCCTTTCCCTGATGTGTTCTAAAATGAACACGTGAGCTGCTTGCATAGATAAGGGGGCCGGTTAGCTCAGTGGGTTGAGTGCGGTGCTGACAACATTGACAACATCGAGGTTACGGGTTTGATTCCCACTCAGTCCCCGTATGTTGCCTGATCTAGTCGAGAGGTGGTGTCCCTGCCCATGACAGGGAGGTTGGATTAAATGATCTCTAAGGTCCCTTCCAACCTAGGCCATTCTATGATTATTTCAGCTGTTTCACATTGCTTTAGAATTAAGGTGGGGAGGGAGAGAAGGAAAGCAGGTGGGCAAATGCTGCTTTTGTAGAAGTAAGTTGATAAAGCCAAGATAATGGATTACTTGGAGACCAGAATAAGAGAAAGTAAATAGTTGTTTTGGAAACTGTCATAACTTGCCATTAAATACCATTGTTTGTTTCAGAAAAATGACAATTTCTAAAGTAATGTGACTCTTTACTCGACTTCCCACCAATCAGTGCTGAACAAAAGCATTGACCCAAAATACCCCTGGGTATCATGTGAGACTTAGATACAAATGAAGTATTCTCACTGGGATACGTGGTTGGTAAGTCAAAGTTGTGTGTTTGACATAAGATTATGGCAACACGGAGCTGTTCGAAAGTGGCCTGTATCAAAACAGGACATTTGATTATCAAGCCATAATTTTGTCCGATTTTGCAAGTATTGAGTATGAGAAGACACACTTGTCATACATGCATCGTTTACGCTTAATGTGGTTTCTTCCACATATGCACTTTTTTACTTCTCCGTCAGTGGGTTGGGCGCGTCTGCTTGTGAATGAATGTCTATTATCATCCTGTTTTTTATTGCAATGGTTATGAAATCCACTGAAAGAAAATAGGAAGGAAATGAGGTTTTTATGCAAATATTCCAGTGCTGTATGTATAATCTTTTAAGGGAGGGAGAGGGAGGAACAAGTCAAGACTTGTTTTCATTTTATGGTCTGTGTGATGGAAACCCACAGTTAACTGCTGCTAAAAAGAAAACTGCGAGCAACATTATTACATTTGTAATAACTTTAAATTGCCAAAAGGTGTGTTATGATACTGCTGCATGTATTTCACATATTACCATTATGTTTTCCTTTGGCTCTCCATTGTGTGCATAGTTGTTTCCCAAGTATTTGTCCTGTATATATAAATTTCTAGTTTGGTAGGAGGAAATTGAGTTATTTTCACGGAAAGTTTCCAAGAAACTTTTCCAAGAAAGTTTCTTGGTTTAAATATGCTCATTAAATGAATTATCTCTTTTTAAAGTCGAACTTTAAAAATAAAAAATAAAAAAAGATAAAAGAATGAAGGAACAGCTGGAACAGCTGTAGCAGTAGAGACCCTGTAAGGATGCATCCAGTATAAGCCCTTGTGTAGGCACACGTGTGTGTGTTTTTAATTAGTGGAAGTACTTGAGGCTTCTTGCTAAACCCAAGTTTACATTCCCATTATTTTTTTCTGAACTGTGAAATGCAGCGAGAGAAGCTGTGCTTTGATCTGAAGAAATGTTAACTGGTGTAGCTGCCCTCATGTCCATTTCTCAGGTAAAATTAGAATTAGAGCACAAATACATTTGGTAGGCTATGAACAATCTCAGTTGAAGGGTAGATGAATTAATTATTGATACAAAATATGTATATCGGCACCTCTAAGCTAATCATTTGTGTCATGTTGGATGTTCGTGGTGAAGGGTGCAACGCTGAAGTGAGAGTCCAAGGTATGGTCTCTTGTTAGCAAAAAGATGCAGATATACCTCCATTTGTATTATATAATTCAGTTCTTGAGACATACGTTGAGGTTTTTTATGTTAATGACAGATGATTTTGCTAGGGGCACTTCTGCCAAATATAAAAATCAGTGCCTCTTGCATGTAGTGGGATCAGCTTGATGTATCCAATCAAGAATAATTTACAATGCCATCTTGCTCGTATAATTTAGAGTAGAACCCTACAGAAGTGTAAATAGGGATAGCATAATGAAGTTCTAAATAACACTCGTGTTTTGAATTCAGAAAGTCATTGAATATATGATGCAGGCTTTTTATTTGATTTTTCTTCTTTAATATATAGTTAAAGCAAAAATGTCTTATAAAGTATTCATAAGTTTTGTAGAAAAGCATAAATGTTACTGTATATGTGCTAATTGTGGCAAAGTTTTACATTCTCATTCTAGTCTGGTTTTTACAATAAAATTAATTTTACAAAAAACACTTTTCTATTTTTATGTACTGACATATGCAATAAATTGATACATTAAAAGTGCTATTAATGTCTTGTTCTAGTTTGTGGTCTGTCTTCAGTATGTGTGCAGGGATGTTTTTATCCAGAGCTGTAACTGATCAACCTCAAGGTATCATTTCTAATTACTTACCAAAACCAGAGTGCATGGAAAAGACACCTGTGTTGGTAGAGGCGACATTTGTGGAAAGCTGTTCCAGCAGGGAAGATCTATATTACAAATATCTATTTCTATGCTTCTTTAGTACATCCCGCATCTCAAGACTTCTCTTTTATCTGGGGATCTGAGAAATGGGTGAAATATTATGTCACTTAGGAAATGCTTTTTAAGTGTTCCTGACTAGTTTATCACCTGTTGGTGGTAATGTTTTGAATGCAAATTTTTAAATGCTGCGATTCCACTCTAGCACGTTTATAGTTAATTCATGTGGTTACAGTGGGATACTCAGACTGAAGCCATATCTGCTTTCACGGAATCACAGAATTGTTAAGCCTGGAAAAGACCTCTGAGATCAAGTCAGCCTAGAACTCAACACCATCACAATGGCTAGACCATGGCAGTAAGTGCCACATCCAGTCTCTCCTTAAACACCTCCAGGGACGGTGGAGAAATGCATAGCTAAGCTTATATTGCCTCTGCTCCCATCCTGCATGATTCATGTGAAATGCCCAGAAAATAAGGATTTACTGCTGCCTTTTCTAAAGCCGCAAAATGTGTATTCTCTCTGGAATTACTGCAAGGCTTACAGTTCAATTTTAACCTAATAGCTAAAAACGAGAGTAGAGGGGCGAGTGATACATTTTGACACTTTAGTTACATTACCTATTTTTAAAGGAAGGGAAAAAAAAAAAAGTATTTCTAAATCTTGAAAAGGAAGCAATGAAAGTAAAGGTGCAACTCAGATACCAGTACTTCCTGTGGATCCTGCCCTTCTGGAATGAACAGCAGTTTGCTGTCTTGTGAGCTGTATCGCTTCACCTTGCTCACACAGTGCTACTCTGCAGAATACACATCCTGCACTTGCTTTATCTT